CTTTTCAGCCGTCACACTGGGGAGGGCGCTACTGGCATCTAGTGGGAAGACCCCAGAGGTGCTGCGTGAGCTCTTACAATGCACAGGATGGGTCCCTACAGCAAAGGATTATCTGGTGACACCAAAATGTTAATGGTGCGGAGGTTGAGACACCTGGCCTGGATGGTCTCCGATGGTTTCCCCAGATCTGACCTACACTGGATTCTATGAGTTTGGGCCCAGACTCTCCTCACGTCCTGTAAGAGAAGCAGTGCTCTCATGACCGACCAGAGAGTGGCTGTGGCCCACTCAACTACGAGGGGGAGAGAAGAAACAACAGGGCCAAAGGTAGGAAGCAGTCTCAAGTCCTGGGTGGGAGGCCCCGCAGTAAAAGGCAGATGTGGAAAGGCGATTTCCTCCCCAGGGACTCAGGCCCTCCCTCCCTCATACGAATGAACAGGGCCCTCTCCTGGTGTGTGTCGGCATAACAAAGGGCTGATGGCTCGAAAAACCACACAAAATTTGAATAAAAATATGTGACTGTGGAATATTTCCCTAATGACCACCTTATGATTTCTTGATGGAAAAAAATACGAGAGGAAATACTAGTCATTAATAACAGAATTTCCTTTAAAAACATAACAGATTTATAAATAGGTACTTAAGAAATGCTGACTCATTTCAGATTAGACTCAAATATTTAAGAGTCTGACACAGCCAGACCTTTTGTGAACACCTAATGAATGACAGACACAGCATGACCACTGCAGAGTAGGGAGAAGGTCTGTTCAATCAGTGGTGCTGGGATATCTTGGCAAGAAATGAAATTGGATTCCTACCTCCCACTAAACACAAACATCAATTCCAGATACACGGATACTCTTAAAGGCCTGTTACTCCTTGAAAGGCTAAACTCTCAAACTTTTAGAAGAAAACATATCTTCATGACTTTAGAGTAGGGAAGACTTTTTAAATAAGTCCCAAGAACACCAGCCATACAAGAAGAAAAAAAAGATAAATACACTAAACCTTAGGAACTTCTGTTCATCAAAAGACAAGCTGCAGGAGTATATCTGCAATGCATGTATCCACAATATATAAATAATACCCATAAAGCAATAACGAAAAGATAATTAAAAATAGGCGAAAATACTGAACAGCATTTTGCGAAGAGGCTATCCAAATGGCAGCACCATAATGGAAAGAGGCTCAGTATCATTAGTCACCAGGGAAATAAAAACCATAATGAAATATCACGACACATCCACCAGAATACCTATGGTTGAGAGAATCGAGCATTCATGAGGATGTGAAGAATTAAAACTCTGATACTTCGCTGAATGGGAAAAGAAATGGCGACAACCACTTTGTAAAACTGCTTGGCAGTATCTCCTGAAGCTAAACATAGGTCTACACATTGACTCAGCCATTGCACTGCTATGTATTTACCTGATAAAAATGAGAGCATCTGTTCACCAAAAGAAACACACAAGGGCATTCATGACATCATCATTCATAATAGTATCAAATTGTAAGTAATTCAAATGCCCATCCAAAGTAAAATGGACACTTGGATCTATGCAGTGAGAATACTACATAATCTGTATATTACGGTGTCTACATTAGACCTTAATTAAAAGCACCAAGCCAACACCTTACTCCATAGGTATATGGGGTTCTGTACTAATATTGCACCCCGAATTCTAAGAAAATTTATAAGCACCTAACTTAAGAAAATATACCTCTGTCTAAGTAATCACCTTTTCAATTTATATTCTCCCCACCTACAAATTAATGATATATTAATAATCTATTAAAAACAAAAAGGCTAGCCACAGAATGAGAGAAGCTATTAGCAGAATGTACACCAATGTGGAGCCCACAACCAGAAAGAACTCCGCAGATCTGTTAGAAAAAGACAGAAGACACAAAAGAAAAATGGGCCAGACATCTCACTTTGTGCTTTTCAGTATCCTTCCAGTATATAACAGTTGTGTCTGTTTTTTAGAAAAAACTATTAGTATATACTACTTCTATTTTTTATATTTACTTTTAGTTCAAGAATACTACACGAATATGCTTTCCTTGTAAAATATCAGACACTCCAGATAAAAGCAAAGTCCCTAGTGACCTTTAACCCTGGTTCCTTGCCTGGATACACAGAGAAAATGACTAAACTATTAGGCTTTTTTCTAGTTTTTTAATGCAATATCCTTTCGTGGGTTTTAATATTTTTTGTTTGTTTTACATGTACGGCACCTTGTCCTGGGACTAGCCTTTCCACTCAATACCACGACTGTCACCCTTGTGCATGCCGGCAGGTACCATTTCAGTACCTTACCCTTTTCCCTGCTTCAGAGTCCTCCAGAGACCGGACGCGCCACAGTTCACACAGCCCTGCCCCGTGGGAGGCCGCTGACTCACACTCCTTCCTCGATTCCTTCCTTTCCTTTCTTCTCTCTTTTTGCTATTAGTTCCTCTCTTTAATGAGAACAACTGATGACACTTAAACATTTATGTAATTTCAGCTTCATAAAGTAAAAACCTCCAGAAAGCTCATGCCTCATTCTAATGTCAGAAAGTGTCTTAGCTAGGGGACTTCCCCAGTTGACTACGTAGAAAGCAGAATGCACAGCTTTGGGGAGCCCCGACCTTCGCTACGTGCCTGTCTCCTCCCCTCCAGGACTGGGGATGGTGCTGAAAACCTGTGCCTTCGTTTTTCTACCTGTGTTGCTGATGTGCTCTGTGACCTTGGGCAAGTGGCTCCCCTCTCTGGTTCTCTATTTCCTCACTTATGCATAGAGGGGGTAGGAACATATACACTGTTGGGGTCTCTCTCAGCTCTGAGGGTCTTTGATCCTGCGTGTCCTGTTGTCCTCAGTGATATACGCACGTGACCACCCAGAAAGGGATGCCTGAGAACAATTTTCCCTTTCCTGGTAGCCCCATCCACAGTCTACCNAGTGTCCTACTGTCCTCAGTGATATACATAGGGATGCCTGAGAACAATTTTCCCTTTCCTGGTAGCCCCATCCACAGTCTACCTCTCAGGGTCTGCACAGGGCAAGCCTGACTGATGCTCGGGAGGTACAAGCAGCAGACACCCAAGGCCTGAGCGTCTCCACCTCCACTCCTGGTGCCCCTGGGGCATCTCATCTTCCCGAGGCCCTGAGCAGAGCAGTTTCCCACTTATCTCATCCCCACGACAACTGAAGCTAAGTTGCCATGGCAACCCAGACCCACTGAACCACGTTAAAGAGCCGTTACTATAAAGAGGAGCGCTTAGCTGTCTTGAGAGCCCACTTAATGGGGAACAGAGAGGCAATTACTCCCCCTGGAGGGAGAGCAATCCTGCCCGTTTCAGACTTTGGGGTGTGTACATGTCCCTCCTGTGCAGATGGGGACCCTGAGGCGTGGACTGAGTGGCTGACCGACCACCGGGAGCGAGAATCTTCTCAGGCTCTCATTCTGAGCTCTTCTTCTCCCGGCCTCTGCGCCTCTCTGCCTTCCTCCTTCCCAGCCCTTCCTTTTCCCTCCCCTCCCCACGTGCCTCCTGCCTGCAGGATGACCCCTGGGTGGGACAAATGCAAACAGCATCCACTCATCTTCTAGTCTGACTTTCTCCCAGTAAATCAGGCCCCCTGACTCTCCATGTCACAAGGCCCCGGTGGCCCGGGGACTGCGGCCACCTGCTTCTCCCACCTCAGCTCCTACCTGTCCCCTTACTCTTCACTGCAGCTCACTCGGGGGGGCCTCTCTTTTCTTGAAGACATCAAGCTCCAACCTCCCCCGACACCCATCTCTCTGTCTGTCCTACTTCCCTGTTGAGTGTCACAGCGCATGCACCACTTGCATTCACGATCTCTGCTTGTTTTCTTCTCCCATCGCCTCCCTCTCCGGAATAAAAATAGCAATAATCTGTCTCTCCTGTCCCTGGCCGTCTGCCCTCCACCTAGACCTGCACCTGGCAACAAGCGCTCTCCAGACCTGTTGCTGAATGCGTGCGCAGAGAGAAGTGCGGGAATGGACGCCCGTATCCCGGCTGGGCCTGAGGATCGAGCATCCTCACAGCGACACCTCTCCCCATTTCTTTCCACGGCCCCGGCTGCACCGGTCACCCCACGCCACCGGCAGGCTGGGCCACCCGTGGTCACCAGCCCTGGAGAAGAGCAGGGACAAAGGGGGGTGTACTGGGAAGGATGCGGAGAGCACCGCCTCTGTGTAAACCACGAGCGCTGGCGAACGTGCACAGACAGTCTGGGAAAAACTGGCTTGTTCGGTGTGGTCCCGAGAGGTGGACGTACACGGAGCTCTTGCTCATTAAATGACTCTGACCAATTCTTTCGTTCTTATGGTATGTACTTTACGTGCATTATCTCCTTGAAACCTTTAATTACCCTGCAGGGGAGAATCGCCATCTCCCATCACAACAAATGATGATACCCCGCGTGCTCTTCCCTGAGCCTGGAGCCTGTCCCTGGGTCTCCACCAGGCGAATTCTGGTCATTTTGCAGGTCACCTCCTCAGGGAAGTCCTCCCTCACCCCCCAAACCACACCAGGTTCTCAGTTCTATGATCCCACTAAACTCTGCACTTGTCCCTCATGTCATTTACTGTAATTGTGACCACATCACTTCTGTGTAAATACTGCTCAATGTGAGTCTCCCCGCTCCTGTCCAGGACATGAGGTAGGGACTGGCTACTGCTATGTCCACAAGGGCAGCACCTGTCTTATGGCAGCCAAGGAGTCCTTATTTGTGTAATGAGTGACAGGAAAATTAAGACTCCCAGATGGCCAAGGTCCTGCGGCCAGTGAAGGTGGGTGGGGTGGGACCTGCGTTCCTCCTAGCACTTGAATAGTTGAGTGGTCAGCGCTGTGTGACTCGGAATGGAGGGGTACAAGCCCCGCACTGGAGGAGCATGAGTCTATGCTGCAGGTGCAGGGGGGGTGCCTCAGGAATCTGGTTGGGGTGGGGTGGTCCCTCCCAGCCTGGGACGCCCCCCATTGGCTCAGGACTCACCAGAGCTTGCTCTATAAGCAGGCAGAACAGGATGGCGTTGCCCACTTCCCTCAGGCTCTGGAACACGTCTGTTTTGAGCTCCGCGTACTCAATGATGTCCTTCAGCTGATGGTGGAAGAACTCCAGGATCCCTGGGGGGTAAAGGGGGATGGTCAGCGGGAAGTTGACACAGCTCAGCTGGGTTCATGGAAAGCGCCAACTGAGCAGTGGCCCCAGACCTGACTTGGAGACAGCAAAAAGTCAAACCTGCGGGCCCAGGGTAAGATTTCCTTCAGGCTCAGTGCTAGAGAAAGATCAGGAGGCTATTTCCAGTCTTTTTGGGAACAAAACAACACACACAAAATGAGCAGCCCTGGGTCTTTCCCAGTCCCTCCAAAAAGTTACCTGAATTCCTAATAATGACAGGCATGAACATTTATTTATCGGTGTTAGATACTGTGCTAAGGACTTTATCTGGAATACCTCATTTAATACCATGAACTAGGCACTATTACTCTCATTCTCAGATGAGGCTCAGAGAGGGTAAGTGGCATGCCCAGAGTCACACAGCTTAGTATGTGGGGCAACTGAGATTGAAAACCAGAGCTTTCAGCCCAGCCCTTTCCTATTGTGAATCACACTGACCCAGCACTTAGCATCTTAGTTTTTAGAAAAAACAACAACACACCAGGTGCCAAACTCTTGGGTTTCCATCTTTCTGGATGCCCCAGGACCCCAATTCAGTCCCTACTCCACTGACTATGAGGAAAGGAAAGAATCATTTCTCTGCCCAGAGGCTGAAAGGCAAAAACTCCTGATTCACCTTAGAAATGCCACTTGGGGCACCAGCTTCCTCCACCTGGGCCAGTGGAGGAAGGAATCCTAGAGGTGCTGAGCTAATGAAGACCTTTACAGGTAAATCTCACTCTGTTTGTGGTCCTCTTATGGCTTCCAGCAGGCCTGTGAGGCAGGCCCAGCAGGCATCATTTACCTTTGCTGGTGGAAGAATACTATTGCTCAGGGGCATTAAAAATGGTTCGAGGCTATCTAGCTAGCTAGTGGTACAGGANTATGGTGAGGCAGGCCCAGCAGGCATCATTTACCTTTGCTGGTGGAAGAATACTATTGCTCAGGGGCATTAAAAATGGTTCGAGGCTATCTAGCTAGCTAGTGGTACAGGAAGGATGCAAACCCAGAGCTCTGCCAGCTCACTGGCATGTTAGAGAAGCAGACACTCCAAGGCATAGGGCTGGAGCCCCCTTTCCACCATGGGAGGGGTTTGCATTAGTTTCCTCTCTCTACCCTTGCCCTGGTTCCCCATCACCAACCTGGGGAGCCATACTCATGCCTGGGCAAGCGGCATATCTTGGGCATCACTTCGATCAGTGTTTTCACGTACTGGAGAATGGTTCCCTGGAGCTGAGAAAACAAGAGTGCAAGATGAAATAATCCATCGTTGCTCATGGGCGCACCGCTGGGCTGAACGTTGGGCGACTGGGGTGGAAGGGGGTCCTGCTGAAACCTGTGGGTAAGTGTGGTGGACTGAATGTGTCCCCCTAAATTCATATGTTGAAACCCCAATCCCCTATGTGATGATATTTGGAGATGGGGCCTTTGGGAGGCTATTAATCATGAGGGTGGAGCCTTCACAATGGGATCAGTGCCCTTATGAGAGTCATGAGAAAGATGATGTCTCTCTGCCATGTGAGGATACAGCCAGAGGGTAGCTACCTGTGGACTTAGAAGAGGGCCCTCACCAGAACCTGACCATGCTTGCCCCAACTGTGGACGTCCAGCCTCCAGAACTGAGAGAAATAAGCATGCTATTTAAGCCACCCAGTCTGAGGTATATTTGTTATAGCAGCCTGAGACAGTAAGGTTCTGCCACCTGACAGGATGGAGCAGGCTGTCCCCTAAAGATGGGGAGCAGCCCCAGTGCCCTAAGGGAAAATGGGCCTTTTAAGACAGAAAAGGGAGCTTTCTCATTACCCCCTGGGCTTACAGACTTTAAGAAGCACAATTTCTAAGCATGGTGTCCTTCCTGGGGCTGGGGCACTTACATGGGACCCAGGCTAAGTGGGGCCAGGGAGCTGTGGGGACTGAGACACAGTCTCTTATTCAAGCAGGGAAACCCACAGCAGTTATCCCGCCTGTCCCCAAGGCAGACGTCTTTAATCAGGGACCACATTTTGCTGTTTAACTCTGGATTTAGCTTCACAGTTCATAATCCATGGCTCCACACAGCTGCTACCATAGAGCTGGAGTAAGCCAATGAATCCTTTTTTATTTCTCTTTTATCACCTCAAATTTTCAGGAAAATCTTCTTTCAATGTTCCAGCCTTGCTTTGACAGGGTTGTGGGGAATTAAATGAAGGTTTGGGTGACCATACTTGGGGCAGAGAAAGAAGAGTGATAAAGGGATACAGAACTTGCTAAAGGCCAGTGAAGTACTGGTAACGGTATTTAGCAAGAAATCCTGAGGGGAAGAAGCATGGTGATTGGTTAGGCATGTCTGCCAGGGGGATGGGAGGCGAACATGGTAACACATGTGGCATGGGTTTGCCATGCTGAAATTAGACAACATGGCACGGGAGGGGACTATGAGCAGTCCCCAAAGGCCAGCATCAGGATTACTGAGTTCAGGCATCAAGTACAAGGAATAAGCTCCAGGTCAGACAATGAGAGGCACAGTCACAAGTTAGAAGGAGCACAGAAATATAACAGGGCGACAGGTAAGAGGAACCAAGGGGTAAGGGCAAAGGGCTCCCTGGGCGATTCTGACAGACACAGCTGAAGTGTCCTGATTTCACAGGCCAGGTAAAAAGTGACAGCAGATCTCATTCCTATCAACCCCACTTGGGCATGTGCCCGGCCTCACTGCGGCTTGTCCTCACCAAGCTCTTGACAATCTTCAGCAGTTCCTCCATGACCACGGCGATGCCCTGGTAACCCAGGAGTCTGCAGATGGTCTTGAAGTGAGGGGGCCCCACGAAGTTCCGGTACGAGCTGTAGATGTGGCTGTAGGCAATGTTGAGAGGCTGAAAGAGAGGGTGTCCAAATAAGCGGCTGAGCACTGAATGGGTGGATGCTGGCCCGCATCAGGGGTAATGTTTTGCTGATAGAAAGGATGGAACCCTGACGTCACCTGCAAGCTCTCACGGGGCACCCTGGGGAATATGTTTGCAAGATGCTGGCCATAGAGAGAGGTGTGGTCAGTGGCAACAGGATGAAGCAAAGGTCACTAGATGGAGCAGTGTGTTCCCCAATGGAAGGGGAGAGGGAACTTAAATACCATCTCCAATAGGGCTATTGGAAGTTTAAATGAGATAACAGATAGAAAACACTGAGCTCTGGAAACACTCATTGCAACCACAGCCATTCCTATCGCTTTGTCTGATAATTTATAAGTAAAGACTGGGGAAATACAGCTTCCTGGTCAAATATCCCCCAGCAGTCACGATGCTCTGAATGTAAGGGGGGTGTGCACACCTGGGGTACAATTCTAAACAACAGTGATGTAACAGAGGACATAGCTGGGACCAGCTGATGCAATGCACCCAAAATGCAGATTTTGCTTAATATTTACATTATAAAGATGAGAACCGTCCAACAACAGACTGCTGGGTAGAGGTCTCACTGCTGCAAGCCGTTGGGTGGAGGCTGAGAAACATGGCTTACGGTTGCTAGAAGGGAGCCTGCCTGGAGGTGAGGGTTGGAAGAAATGTGACTAACGTTCCCTTCAGAGGTTCAAGCTCCAGTGAGGTCTTCCTGGATGCTCATCCTTCCTAGCAGTCTTCTTAACTCTCCCTCACACCCTAGGAGCTTCTAGTACAAAGTTTTCCTTAGCATTTCCTGGCAACCACAAACAAAAAAATATGTGGGATTCAATTAGACAGAGGAGAAGGAGAATTTTGGAATTGTTTTACCACACACAAGAGTTTAAAAAATACCCCTTCTAGGCCTGCTCTGTGCACACAGGCAGCCTCTTGTTGACGTACTTACATCAGTCTTGGATTCTGGTCTAGACCAGAAGTTTAAACCTCAGCTGATGATCCAAGCCCAGGATGGACCAGCATGAACTGAGCAGAAGTCAAATCCTTCTAAGTGAACAAGCACCCCTCAGCCCCTGAATACACCACAACCATGCAAGAAGAAACACACATACATGCGAAAAGTACATGCGCACACACCCCCGGAGGGCACCCCTCTGACCTGCTGGCTCAATAGGAGGCTGGGCCCTATTGAGAAAATGTGAGAATATGGGAGCCTGGGCATTTTCTGAGGTTGGGCAAAGAAAAACAGGAATGCAACATGACTTGAGACATTGGAAACTTGTTACAAATCTCTTAATACTGAACCAATCCTGCTAACTGACTCAGGTTACAACCCAGGGGCCTATCTTAGAAACGAAATACATTCAGGATGGCTCTCTTTTACTATCAAGCTAAACAAGCTTGCACCATCCACACTGCACAAAATAGATAATTTTATGAGACCTTGAATAAATAATCCTGATTCAGGAATTAGAGCCATCTTATTAATGTGTGACATAGATATGCATTCTTTTTTAAAAGGCAAAACAATGTTTTAAGGAGAGAGAAAAATATAGTGAGTTTGATCTGGCAGATCCTGGGCACTATACTGTCTGTATGTGGACCTTTTAAAAATTGTGGTAAAGCACACATAACATAAAAGCTACCATTTCCCATTTTAAAATGTGGTATATGGGCTTTTAGTCATTAGGTCTCTATCTTTCACCAGACAGTAAACAGGGCCAGCCACCTCAAACAATGAGACCTACTTATTTAGCAAGCTGAATTTGCAAGCGATTTCTCTCTGCTTTCTGGAATCACAATTGCTGTTCTCAGAGATCCCAAGAGGAATTAAAACTGTTTCTAATTTCCTGTTTCAGTTACAATTTCTCTAATGTTCCTGGAGCAATCTGAATACCATCAGCCCACCAACACAAACACAGCTCTCTAATTTGGTTCAGAGAGTGAGCTGCAGCTCAACTCCGAAATCCCTGCAGGTAAATGAAAAAAATAGCAACACCACCAAAGAGCACAGGGTAAGATGCATAAAGGACTGATAAGTCCTGAGGTACAGGTTCGAATCCATTGCTAGGGCATGGGGAAAACTGCCGATGCATCTGTCCCTCTCTTTTTGACGTCCAGTGAGCTGTAGGGCTGGGTCCCCAACATCTGGATTCCTTGTTGGTCTTCTCAGCTAAGAGGCTGAAAGATTCAAGGCAGCTGCTGTAGAGACCTCAAGAAACGATGCTCCCCCTTTCTTGTCTTACAGATTAAGTCCTTTGGAGAAGGCAAGAGGGAGAACAAGAACCAAGCCTTCCTGTTCAGAGGTACCAAATCAACACTAACGCTACATTTTTGGAGGAAACCATTATCATCCCCCCTTTTTATAACTAATATAATAATGATGATATAAAAGTGTATAATGCTTCTCTGCTTATGAATGTTTTCACCTAATAATTCTTTCCTAACTGCCCAAGACCATTTGTTTTCTGTGGCTGCTGTAGCAAATTATCACAAGCTGGGTGGCTTATAGCAACAGAAATTCATTCCCTTGTTCTAGAATCTATAATCCAAAATCAGTATCACTGGGCCAAAATCAGGTCAGCAGGGCCACGCTTCTTCCAGAGACTCTAGAGAAGAATTCGCCCCTTGCACCTTCCAGCTTCGGGTAGCAGCCAGCTTTCCTTGGGTTGAGGCTGCATCGCTCCAATCTTCCAATGTCTCCGCTGAGATCTGGGCTTCTCTGTAGGTGTGTAACCTGTCTCTTCCTCCCTCTTATACGGACACTTGTGGTGGCATTTCGGATCCATCCTGGTAATCTAGGGTAATCTTCCTATTGTAAGATCCTTCACTTAATCACCTCTGCAGCCCCTTTTCCCAAAAGAAGTAGCGTTCCCAGGTCCCAGGATTAGGACCCGATATCTTTGGGGGCCACGGCGGGCCTACTACACTAGGTGAGGCAGGTGCAACCACACACTGAGCAGAGGAGGAACCTAAGTGGGGTGGCTTGCCCGAGGTGGAATACAAGATGATGTTCTGCCATATGTATCATCTGCCAAAACTGCAGAATTCTATGGATGGTGGGTAAATAATGTGCAGCCTGGGAGTGGCCCCACACAGACAGGAGTCGGGGTGGCAGCGGGTGGCACTACTGGTGGTGTTATCAGCAAGGCCGAGGCAGGCTCCCCTGGTCAGGCCATGTGCCAAGAGCTGGCACCCAGGTATGGACCCAGATGGGATGTACCCAGGTTGCTGCAGCAAAGCCCCTAAAGACGATGACTGAATGGGGAAGGCACTGCAGAACTATGATCAATTTCCCTGAGGTCAAATCATGCCATGGGGTCATTACGTAGCTAGTGACGACCACACCAACACTTTCTAAGGAATGGAAAGTTATTGAGAAATTATTGGTATAATTGAAAGAATGATTGTGTCACAATATGCGTCACTTGGAAGGCAGCTGTGTGATCGGTTCTATATAACTCACTTTACTTAGAGAATATGTTTTTAAAGTTTTGGTTGATATACTAATTTCAATTACTGAACCAGCTGTTACAGGTTTTTGACCTTTAACATCGGCCCTAATCCGAAGTGAGAGTTCTCCGGCTCAGGCAGGCATACGTGGTCTCCAGACTCCTGAGGGAAGGTGGCATCATGCAGGGTATAAACCTGGCCCATCACAGCCCCTGGGCTGAGCTACAGCCAACTCAGGGAGTGGCTCTGACCCACTGACCTCTTCTTAATAATCGCCGCTACTCTTCCTGAGCCAGTAGCTTGTAGAGATGGGTTCATCGAGTTGCTACAACACTATAAGGCAGGTATCACTGATATTTGCATTTTACACAAGAGTTCATCAAGGTATAAAAAGGGAGGGAGTTTGTCCAAGGCCACACAGGCAGGATGTGAACCCAGCCTGGGGGGTTCAGGGCCTGCACTCTGAACCCTGGGGACCCAGATAAACCTTCACATGGTCCCTTTACTTCCACCCTCAGGAAGGGCACGGAGACCCCACTCCTGGCTGACTTCCTCTGGCAGTGATCTACTCCCGGTGTACTCAGCCTGGCCCGACAGCTCTGGAGGCTACAACTGGGACACACTGCAGACAGGCCTCCCTGAAGGTGAGGAAGAATACGTGTGGCTGGGGTGTGACCTCTGGGGCAAGTGTCCCCAGGTCATTTATCTCAGTCACTTCTGGCTCCCCTGGGTGCTCGTGAATGATGGTGGCCCAAAGGAGCAGGAAGAGCCTGAGCCAGGGCCTCAGTTTCCACCCCTGGTCCTGCCACGGCCCGAGGAATGCCATCCCTTCTCTCGGGGCCGTGAAGCCAAAGGACTTCCAAGGCTTCATATTCTGTGTCTGAAATGCTCAGTGTTGAAATGGCATCCAGGGGCATTAAGAGTAAATTCCCCTTTTCTGTGGCAAAGGCTTGAGTTCTATCTTATCACCCCACAGGCTCCTTAATTGGTATTTTTATTCACCCTCAAAATAATCTTTTCAAAAGGCACCTGCAGACTAGCGCACTGGCCTTTCTGTGGAGGGGACGCCTACGTGCTCTGCAAGGAATCACCATTAGCAAGAATGACAGCAGATTGTGGCAGGCCCCTGGGAGGACCGAGGCCACAGGAAAACCACAGAGCACGTCTAACCAAGGCCACGGGAAAGCCACAGAGCACATCCGACTCGACGCCTCACACAGACCCGTGGCCAGGGGAGGGTCTGTGATTCACCAGGCAACTCTTTGTGACTTTCTGATTATCACTGACATGAATCACAAGGAGACCTTCAGGGGCACACTTGGCTACTTTGGCCAACAACGGAGAAGAAAAACGCTGGCTTTCAACAACACATAATTTGTGTAAAATAATTTGGGTTTCAGTCCCTCTGGGCTAAGGTTGCTGTAATAGATTACCTCAAGCTCGGTGGCCTTAAGGTGACAGAACTTTATTCTCTATTTCAGACATGCCCTGTGATCTCCCCAACAGAACGGTGGCAATGTGCTCTTTTAAGGTAGAGGGGAACGGAGGGGGTGGATGCTCAGAGGCATGTAGGCCTTTGTGGGAATTCAAAAAGGGCAAGGAGGCAAAGTCAGGATTCTTGAAAGAAAAGGAACTCTGGGGATCACCCCATCCAGGAAGAGTAAACAGTTTCTGGAGTCAGCTCCAAATGATTGATGGACAAGCAATTTCTTCTGAGGCTTGTGTTAAGAAGGACCCTGAGGCTCTGTTTCTGAGCCCTAATGGAAGGAGCACTGTATTAGTTTCCTGGGGCTGCTGGAACAAATGACCACAAATGTGGTGGCTTGAAACAATAGAAATCTCACATCTCTCACAGTTCTGAAGGCCAGAAGTCTGAAATCAAGGGGTCAGCAGGGCCACGCTTCCTCCGAAGGCTCTAGGAGAGAATCCTTCCTTGAACCTTCCAACGCCTTGGTTTATGGCATCACTCAATCTCTGCCTCTGTCTTTACGTGGCTTCTTCCCTTCATGTCTCTCTGTGTGTATATTTCCGTCTCCTTTTTCTTATAAAGACACCAGTCACTGGATTTAGGACTCCCTCTAAATCCAGTATAAGATCATTTTGAGATTCGTAAATAATTAATTCTATAAAGGCCCTATTTCCAAATAAGGTCACATTCTGAGAGGTTCCATGTGGACCTGAATTTTGAGGGGACACTCAAACCAACCCAGTACTAGTACCATAATGGTTTAACAAGCTTGACAAGGGTTCAGGACTAGACAGGGGTAGTACTCATATCTTCTATCTGCCACCCAATGTATCCCATGCTCACAGCTTTTCAGATGATGGAACTGAGGCCCAGAGAATAAAAGACTCTTGACCAGTGTCATATGCCCAGGTAATGCCACAGGAGACCAGAATTAAAAAAAAAAAAATACAGAGGTGGGAGTGGGGTGCAGATAAAACTACTGTTTTAACAATAAAGATAAATTAAAAAAAAAAAAGGTATTAGGGGGCCCTGGCCAGTGTGGTTCAGTTGGTTGGGCATTGTCCTGGGCACTGAAAGGTTGCTAGTTCCATTCCTGGTTAGAGCACATGCCTGGGTTGTGGGCCCCATCCCCGGTAGGGGTCATGCAAGAGGCAGCCAAGTGATGTTTTACTCTCACATTGGATGTTTCTCTCTCTCTTCCTCTCCCTTCCTTTCTAAAATCAATAA